GGGCACAGGGGGGTCAGGGGGGGCCTGGGATCAGCCCCCCTGTCCCTGGATGGCCCCCCAAACCCAGGGGTGCCCCCCCAAACCCAGGGGTGCCCCCCCAAACCCAGGGGTGCCCCCCCAAACCCAGGGGTGCCCCCCTCACCCGTTTCTGCTGCTCCAGCAGCTCCTGCTCCTTGGCCTTGTCCCCAAACGGGTGCTGGCCCTGGGGGGGGAGCACAGTCAGGACCCCCCCAAGGGGGCCACCCACCCCTCAACACCCCCAAATCCCACCCCAAAACCAGCCCTCAGCTCAGCCCCTATATGGTTGCCCCCCTCAAGGTGGCCCCATCCCCTCCAACACCGCCCTGGACCCCTTTAACCCCCCCGGACCTGCGCCCGCTCCTCCTGCAGCAGCATGGCCGCCTGCTGCTGGGCCAGCGTCAGCCGCTCCTCCTCGGAGAGCCCCGCGGGGGGGGGCGGCGGCGGCACCGGGACCCCCCCCACGGGCCCCCCCAGCCCGAAGCCGAGCCCCAACCCCGGCGGGGGAGGGGGGGGCACCAGGGGGTGCTGCAGGGGCAGCGCTGGGGGCAGCTGGCGAGGGGCAAAAGGGGTCAGGGGGGGCCACCTGGGACGCCCCCACCCCAAAATTTCAGCCCCCCAAGGTTCAGTGGTGGGACGGGTCGGAAACTCCTGAACCCCCACCCCAAAATTTAATGCCGTGCCCACCCCAAATTTGAGGGATCTGGAGAATTTTAACCCCTCCCACCTCAAAAACTGGGTGTCATTGACACCCCCACCCCAAAATTTTATCCCTCAGCGTTCAGTGGTGGGAGGGGTTGGAAACTCCTGAACCCCCACCCCAAAATTTAATGCCCTGCCTACTCCAAATTTGGGGGGGTCTTGAGAATTTTAAACCCCTCCCACCTCAAAAACTGGGTGTCATTGACGCCCCCACCCCAAAACTTAACACCCCAGATTTAGCTTCTGGAGGATTTTAATCTCCCCCCACCCCAAAACTGGGTGTCATTGAGCCCCCACCCCAAAATTTGGAGCTTTAAAAGGCCTTAAACCCCCCCAAAATGTCCCATAGATGTACCCCCAATTGGGGGTCCCTGGAGTGCCCCAACCCCCCCCAGACCCCCCAAATCCCACCTGGGGGGGCGGGGCCTTGTCCCCCTCCTCGGGGCGCAGGGTGGGGCGGCTCAGCACGATCCCAGTCTGGGGGGGCACAAATTGGGGGGGGGGGGTCCCTGTGAGCCCCCCCCTGCTCGGAGGTCCCCCAAAACCACATTAAAGCTCCCAAAAATCACAATAAACCCCCCAAAAATCACATTCAACTCCCCAAAAAACCACATTACCCCCCCAAATCCCACTAAATCCCCCAAAAATCCCCCTAAACTGCCCCAAAAATCCCATTAAATCCCCCAAAAATCCCCTTAAACTGCCCCAAAAATCACATTGCCCCAAAAATCCCATTAAATCCCCCAAAAATCCCCTTAAACTGCCCCAAAAATCACATTCCATCCCCCAAAATCCCATTCAGCCCCCCCAAACTCCCATTAAATTCCCCAAAACCCCATCAAACTCCTCCAATATCACCTTAAAACCCCTAAAATTCCCATTAATCTCCCCAAAAATCACATTTAACCCCTCAAAATCACAATAATCCCCACCCCCAAATCACATTAACCCCCCCCAAATGAATTCTCCCTCCTCAAAGGGCCTCAAGGACGGGGGAGAATTTGGGGTGCCCCCATTTTGGGGGTCTCACCTGCAGGGTGTAAGCCTGGAGCCGCTCCAGCAGCTCCTCACGGGTCCCTGGGGGGAAAGGGGGGGGGTCAGGGACCCTCAAATTCTGCCCCAGAACCCCCCCCAAATTCCTCTGCCCCCTCCATGGACCCTCAAAACCCCTGAGCAGTCCAAAGGTTCCATCCCCGTTCCCCTCACGGTTCCCTCTCGTTCCCCTCACGGTTCCATCCTCGCTCCCCTCACGGTTTTCCCCCCCGCTCCCCTCACGGTTCCATCCCCACTCTCCCCTCACGGATCTCCCCCACGTTCCCCTCACGGATCCCTCCCGCTCCCCGCACCCTGCGCGGGGGCTCCGATGCCGGCGAGCGTGGCCTGGAGCTCGGGGTGGGCCCATCCCGCGTAGGGGGAGCGCTCGGGGGCTCGCGGGTCCCTGAGGGGCTCCCCGGTCCCGGCCGCCGCCGCGTCCGCGCGCTCCGCCGCCATCTTGGCCCGGCCGCCACCGAGCGCGTCGCAGCCAATCAGAGAGCGCGGGGTCGCGCCGTGCGTGCTGACGTCACGAGGTGAAGTGGGCGGGGCTCGCGCGGTTATTAGGGGTAATATGTATGATGTGACGTCATGGCTGTGGAGTGACGTCACGGAGGCCACGTAAGCTCTGTTGGAGTGACGTCACAGGATCCACTATCCCTGCTCATTAGCATGTCCCCGCCCACCCCACTGCCCGCCAAATCGCATATTCTCATTTGCATAGCTCCGCCCATATTTTCTGCATGGCACCGCCCCAAATCAGCCCTTATTTACACCACACCAGAATTTCAGCTGATTTGCATGAGCCCCCTGGTGATCCAGCCCCTCATTTGCATACCCGTCGTTATTATGCAGGTGAAAGTCCCGCCCTCGCCCTCTTTCCTGGCCCCGCCCCAAACGCGGCCATTCATTTCTCGCGAGCGCGGCTTCTTTAGGCCACGCCCACCCCGTGCGGATTAGCCCCGCCCCTTTTGTGGGCGGGCCTTGTTGTTTACTCCGCCTTCAGGAGGCGTGGCCTCATTTCCCCCTCCTTCCGGAAGTGACGTCGCCTCCGCCGCCGCTCTACCCGGAAGTGCCGCCGCAGGTGAGCGCGCGGCGCGCGGTGGGGGCGGGGCCGGGGGTCCAGGGACAGCAATGGGGACCTGGGGACAGAGGGGACAGCGGGGACACCGAGGGGACAGCGGGGGGATTGGGGACATTAGGGTGATACGGAGGACACTGGGGACATTGAAGACATCGGGGACACCGGGGGGACATTGGGGACAATGGGGACAATGAGGGGACAGGGCAGGGGGATGCGGGGACATTGTGGGGACAGAGCTGTGGGACAGGGGGACACAGAAGGGACAGCCGGGGACAGCGGTGACAAGGGGACACGCAGAGGTGGCCCTGGGGACAACGGGACTGGGGGGGACAGAGGGAGGGGACAGAGGGACAGGCACTGTGGGTGTCCCCAGCTCTGGGGGGACACAGGGGGGACAGTGACCCCACCTGTCCCCAGGTGTTGGGGACACCGGGGAACAACCTGCACGAGGTGGAGACGGCGGAGGGGACGCGGTTCCTGGCCAGCATGCCACCGCGCTTCCGGAGACACATCTGGATCAAGAGAGGTGACACTGCCACCACCGATGTCCCTGTCACCTTGTCACTGCCCCTGTGTCACCCTGTCCCTGTCCTGTGTCACTGTCCTGTGTCCCTGTCCTGTGTCACTGTCCTGTGTCATTGTCACCCTGGCACTGCCACCGCGCTTCCGGAGACACATCTGGATCAAGAGAGGTGACACTGCCACCACCGATGTCACTGTGCCAGCCTGTCACTGTCACTGTGCCACCCTGTCACTGTCCTGTGTCACTGTCCTGTGTCACTGTCTTGTGTCACTGTCCTGTGTCATGTGTCACTGTCCTGTGTCCCCCTGTCCCTGTCACTGTGCCACCCTGTCACCATCCTGTGTCACTGTCACCCTGTCATTGTCCCCCTGCCACTGCCACTGTCACTGTGCCACCCTGCCCTGTCCTGTGTCACTGTCACCCTGTCACTGTGCCAGCTTGTCACTGTCCTGTGTCACTGTCAATGTGTCACTGTGACTGTGTCGTGTTACTTTGTCACTATCCTGTGTCATTGTCACTGTCACTGTGTCACCTTGGCACTGTCCTGTGTCACTGTCACCCTGTCATTGTCACCCTGTCACTGCCACCGCGCTTCCGGAGACACATCTGGATCAAGAGAGGTGACACTGCCACCACCGTTGTCACTGTGTCACTGTCACTGTCACTGTGTCACTGTCACCCTGTCATTGTCACCCTGCCACTGCCACTGTCACTGTGTCATTGTCACTGTCCCTGTGTCCCCCTGTCCCCCAATGTCCCCACTGTCCACTCAGTGTCCCCGCTGTCCCCCCAGGTGATTTCCTGCTGGTCAGTCCCATCCTGCTGTCCCCGCTGTCCCCAGTGTGTCCCCAATGTCCCCAATGTGTCCCCAGTGTCCCCCCAGGTGATTTCCTGCTGATCGATCCCATCCCGCTGTCCCTCGGTGTCCCCCAATGTCCCCTCAGTGTCCCCA